TACCTTCACTGCTGCTCCCCTCTTGTGTAACCCTCACCGCCACTCCCGCGTAACGCCTAGCTGCTGCTCCCCTCTGTGTAACCCTCACCGCCACGCCGGGTAACCCTCGCTTTGGCTGCTCCCTCGTTGGTGTAACCTCACACGCCACCCCCGCGTAACCCTCACTGCTGCCTCCCCTCTTGTGTTAACCTCACGCACCCCCTGCTGATAACCTCGCGCTGCTCCCCTCTGTGTTAACGCCTCTCCGCCAGCCCCGCGTAACCCTCACTTGCTGCTTCCCCTTCTGTGTACCCTCACCGCCACCCCCGCGTAACCTCGCGCTTGCTGCTCCCTTCTGTGTAACCCTCACGCCACCCCACGCCGTAACCCTCTGCGTGCTGCTCCCTCTGTGTAACCTCCACGCACCGCGCGCTTACACCCTCGCTGCTGCTCCACCGCAGCGTACCCTCGCTGCTGCTCTCCCTCTGTGTATACCTCGCTTGCTGCCTCCCCTCTGTGTAACCCTCACGCCACTTCCCCGCAATAACCCTCACCGCCACCCCCCGCGTAACCCTCGCTGCTTGTCCCCTGTATGTAACTCGCTGCTTGCTTCCCCTCTGGTTATCCCTCACCGACCACCCCGCGTAACCCTCGCTGCTTGCTCCCCTTCTGTGTACCTCACCGCCACCCCCTCGGTAACCCTTTCCGATGCTGCTCCTCTGTGTAACCCTCTGTTGTGCTTCCCCTCTGTGTAACCCTCGCTGCTGCTCCACAATAAATAAGACAAGAAATACAACTCACCGCCACCCCCGCGTAACCTCGCTGCTGCATCCTCTTCTGGCGTTAACCCTCACTGCGATGTCCCTGCATAAACCCTCACCGCCCCCCGCCCCAAGTAACCTCCTGCCGCCGCTCCTTCATATATCCCCCCCCCGTGTTATGGCCTTCACGCCACCCGCCCTCGCCGGCTAACCCTCACTGCTGCTTTCCCTTCAGGCGGCGCATATTGACGTACGCGTTCACCGGCGCCATTCGCTGGCGAGGACGGGCCGACCGGCTTGCTGGGATGCCGGCGACGCGCTGCTACCTGGTGCGCGAGAGCCAGCGCGCGGCCGGCGCCTACACGCTGAGATGCGCTTCGCGGCGCACCAAGAACTACCGGCCTCTTCTTCTTCGACCAGCAGCACTACGTCGGCGACAAGCGCTCTTGACACGCTGCCGACCTCGTCGCCGACGCCTCATCACGCTGTACATGGACACGCACGCCTGGCGGACTACATCGCGCGCATGGCCCAACCAGTCCGACTCGAGGAGTCGCCCCTCTTCAAGCTGAACGGCGCTCGTAAGAGCAGCGGGCGGCGGCGGCAGCGGCCAGCGGACGGTTCGCGCGGCCCCTCGACGTGCTTCGCTAGAGCGCTGTGGGCGCCGCCGCCGACGACGCCGACGCGGGACCGCCAGGGTGCGGGCGATCCGACGACTACGCAGACGTTTCACCCGGACGCGCGTTTGAGCGGCTTCCGACGCGCGCAGCAGCCCGCAGCAGAGCCCTCGAGGACGTTCAGTCACGAGAAGCCGCACCGCTTTCGGCGCAGCAATAACTTCCGCGGGCCGCACTGGTGCGACTTTCTGCGGCAACTTTCCTGTGGGGGTCTCATCGGGGCAGGGCGTTGCCGCTGCCTTCGACTGCGGCTTCACTGCGCAACCGCCGCTGCTCGATAGAAGGTGCCAGCGACTGCCTGCCGAACACAAGTACGTGCAGCGCGTGTTCGGGCGTCGACCTGCGACGTAGCAAAGGCGCATTGCGGCCGCGGCGAATCTGTGTCGTCGACGACTGTGACAGTGCTGCGAGATCGAGGAGCGCGGCCTCGACATCGAGGGCTCTACCGGCTGGTGCGCTTCAGTCGCACGTCGAGACGATCCGCTGCTCTTCGACACGTCGGTTTGACGGCGACGCCACATCAACCGCCGACATGGTACGACGACATCAACGCCATCTGCGGGCTGTTGAAGGCTCTTCTTTCCGCCTGCTTTGCGATCCCGCTCCGTTCCCGTTCGACGCGTACGCGCGGCGTTCTCGCGGGGTCGCGGCGCGAGACGGAGGCGACGCTGCGTGGCGGCGATGCGCGAGTGCGATCGCGCGCCTCCGGCCAGCGCTACCAGACGCTCAAGTACTTTTCATGCGGCACCTCGGAAGCGTTGCACACAGCACAGCGAGCGAACAGATGACGCCGCACAACCTCCGCGACGTGCATGTGGCCGACGATCATGCGCTCGCCAGACACGAACCCTTTCGGCTGTCGCTGCAGAATACGGCAAGGCGGGACACGACGCGCGCTTCCCGTCACGCTCATAACCACACGATGACGCTGTTCATGCGAAATGAAGCGCGACGCACGGTGGGGGCATTTGCTCGATAATGCGACGACAAACCTCCACGATGCCGGGATACGGAGACAGCCAGGACGGGTTTCACCTTCAAGGAGCGGGAGAGGCTCGTAGAAATCTATGGAGATGGAATGTTTATGCGTGTTGTTGGTCGGCTGAACATGCGGAGTGAAGGCGCTTGTTGAAGAGGTTGCTGTGATGTGCATGCAACCCCACCCGATACCAGGATACGGAGCCAGAGACAGGTTTCACCTTTAAGGAACGGTTGAGAAAGGAAGCGCACGCACGTGGGGTGCATGCTTGATGTGCATGCAAACCCACCCGATACCAGGATACGGAGCCAGAGACAGGTTTCACCTTTAAGGAACGGTTGAGAAAGGAAGCGCACGCACGTGGGGGGCATGCTCGATGTGCATGCAAACCCACCCGATACCAGGATACGGTTACACGCCACAGACAAGTTTCACCTTGAACAGTTGAAGGAGCCAGGAGAGGGTCGTAGAAATCTATGGAGATGGAATGTCGTGACATTTTAGAACATGTCACGCCACACCTTGACAAGGTCTACCGCCTGGTTATTGCTGGTTCAACGGGATGGTGATTGTGGACTCACGTTTCCTTACTGAAGGACTACCCTTGACAAACGCGATCTCTCTGTAGAATTCTCACGAACTCCACATTGCTTTTTCATTTCAAAGTATTGTGTGCTACGTTAATCTTTGTACATAATACTTGATGTGACATCTCTACCTACCGTCCTTGTTAGGTATTTTGTTAGGTTAGGTTAGGTAGGTTGTTAGACGACTGATGTATGCATACCTTGAAACTGTTGGCCCATGCGCATCGCTGCTGCCAGAAACAGACACGCATTATCGAGGTTTAGTTGCCTAGCAACGAAATCCTCGCAGTTCTTCTGCAGGTCGTCGAGGCCGAGGTGTTGAGCGATGCTGAGGATGTCGACGACGTTGTCATAGTTCAGCACCAGCTGTAGGAGAAAGCAACGTCGGGTTAGCACAGCATGCAGATTCACCGAGATTAGTACATGAAGCGATATTGCATGCTACACACGCAAGCACGCACGACCACATCGTCTGTACATTCTGCTACCTTGCAAATAGAATGTTCGAGAAGAGTCAACGTGGTAATGTGAATTGGGTCTGAATTTATTTTCCCTGAACCTCTTCCCTAATGAATACAGCTCATCCAAAAGAATGTTGATCGCTGGTCTTTACCGGGTTAGGCAGCTACTTTAATAAGTCATGTTAAATTAAACGGTATTTACAGCACTGTAATTCCTCTACGAAGTGACGACTTCATCATTTTGACATTTTCATTATTTATTCGTGCATTTTCTAAGGCTATAATAATTAGATAGCGTCAAACAAAATTCAGCCATCTCTGCCATCGATGATCGCGACAGACAACGCACATATGATTTCGAAACATTTTCGGTCCTTACGGAAACCACTTAACCGGCAGCATCGCTCAGATTCACTAATAAAGATTAAAATTTTCGCTTATATTTCATGCACGGCGACGGGGAAAAAAATGCGCCGCGCGCGCCGTAATTATATTAATGCGCAAAGCCGCGGCGTCCGGGCCGGCGGCGGGCGGCGGCGTTTCAGCGGAATTAGAACGGCGCGGCGCGCCTTTGTCGGCCGCGACATCACAGGCGCGCTGCGGCCGCCGTCCGACTCGGCAAATCATCGCTTCATTACAGGGGACTTTGCCGAGACTCTCAGCGAGCAGCGCTCGGAGACACGCGCGTGCGGCCTGAGGGAACCGCAGCAGTGAGGGTTACCGCGAGGGCGGGTGGCGTGAGGCATACACGGGGGGGGGATATATGAGCGGGCGGCGCAGGAGGGTTACTTGGGGCGGGGGGCGGTGAGGGTTATGCAGGGATCGCAGTGAGGGTTACGCAGAGAGGAGCAGCAGCGAGGGTTACGGGGGGGTGGCGGTGAGGGTTACGCATTATTGGGAGCAGCAGCGAGGGTTACAGCGAGGGGACAGCACCGAGGTTACACAGAGGAGCCGCCGAAGGGTTCCGAGGGGTGGCGGTGAGGTACAAGAAGGGGAGGCAGCAGCGAGGGTTACGCGGGGTGGCGGTGAGGCGTAACCAGAGGGAACAGCAGCGAGGTTACCTACAGGGGACAAGCAGCGAGGGTTACGCGGGGTGGCGTGAGGGTTATGCGGGGAAGTGGCGTGAGGGTTACCAGAGGGGAGGCAGCAGAGCGAGGTAACACAGAGGGAGACAGCAGCGAGGGTTACGCG